GAAGGGTCAGGCCTGTTATTGACATGTTTTAGGGTTTTTCTTTGACAAAGAAATGTTAACAGCTTTCAGCAGTATGTGAAAGGTATTATTGCCTGGAATATAAATTTTTTTGTCTTTAGAAATCCATTAAATACGAATTAACCTATGATATCTTCAAGCAAAGATTTTTTTCTAATTATGATTGGTAGAATGTCCCAACTAGAAATAATTTTCCCCATGACGGAAGAGGCTGACCTGTCTGTGAATGGTCCTCTATAGCGAATCATAAATAAACTAGGATAAAGGGCCCGTTCTTGATTCAAATAAATTAGCCCTGAGATTAATAGCCTTTAAGCTAGCTTCCTGGACAATAAAACACCTTATATCTATATACTGCATATATCTCAATTATTGGTTAACTGTAATTGAGGTCAGCTCTACAATCGATCTCTACAATCGATCTCTACAAATATATTCATTGTGCGGTATATGTGAAGATCAAGTTGTCGACCATACAAAGATTTTGTTGCCATACTAAGATTTATTTCATTTAATAATTAATTCAAGAATACAGAAATCACAGGTAGTTCAAAGTGCGTCGAACCTGCCCCTTCCAAGGAAGAAGGAATTGCCCCCCCCCCCACCCCCCACCACCACCACCACCAAACGGAGAGAAAAAAAAACACTTTCTGCTCACATCATGACGCATATACTACTGTAAACACCTTAATCAATGTTCATTTGATATCTCTCACCCCGGGTTAAAACTGGGTTAACTCCGGGTGAAAAAAGGGAAACATCGACACTCCTGATCCCGCCTTTGATATTATTATTCAATTGATTATTACTTTGTGCAACCCGCATATTTGAAGCGGTGATTGTAGTGTTTTGTCTCCAGCGCTGTTCCGTGTTTTTTTTTCTTTCACTAGTAGCCTGTTACATAAATGTCGAAACTGTGATTTTGTATAGTATTTTAGTGGGGTCCTGGTGTCAGGGAGTAGGTTGTTTCCATGATGGTTAGTTTGAGAATGTTTAGTGAATTTCTTCAACATAGAATCTATTTTTGCCGTGCTCAATGACATGAGATAAATAATTGTCACTATGTTCATATAATCCATTGGGTGTGAACAATAGAAATGTTTGAACAATCATTTTTTTAACTTGTTTTAACTTATTAAAATATGTTTTCGTTTGGAGAAAAAAAAGCGTTATTTGGAACTTAAGAGTCGATGTGTGTCATTCCATTTATCCACTTTAAGCTTAATTTACAAGGTATTTGCCGCACATGTGATTTTAGACCCTTGGATTTGGCGACGGTCCCATTTTACTTTTCAATATCCAACCCGGAAGAAAATACGAGATGTTAACCTCAGCTGTTGCTACTTTATACAAATTTCTGATGACAGAAAGCGATAAATCTGTCTTTTTTAATTGAAAATGTCAAAATGTATGCGTTACTAGTGCGGGGCAAAGTAATGAAGGTTAAGATTATTTTTAATTGGTAACGAAATATTAAAATTTACCATTTTGGATACTATTCGTACTTTATTCAAACTAACAAATAATTAGACTGCACTAAAGGGATATTACTGGATGTATGTTTATTTTACTGACACAATTTTCCTCAACCTCGAGTGTATTTTTCACAATGCCTGGTAACGAAGGATTTGCAAATTACTCGCTATGAATATCAAGTTTTGCCGCGCTTCGTTCAGAACATTTGACTGTGTCCATATTTTCATGCTAATAAAGGATTAAATTTAATTGACGATTTTATCAATGATTAAAATATTACAAAAAAACATCAAATGCAGAAACTTTTTATAATATGAAAAATCAGGCGACACTCTTATATAAAAGTAGGCACAAGCTATTTATTACGTTATTTGAGGTAAACATTTAACATATTTTCTGAGACTGAAAACATCATACCCGGTTCCTGACAAGCTGCAGATCTTCTACTTTAATAAAAATGAACTAGATCGATTGGAGAATGTGAGATAGAGCTGCGAGCGACAGTAATACATTTTTAAAATTGATGTTTTTTTGTGTAAGGACAGATAAATTTAATAATTATTAATTCTATTTTTTTTTTTTTTTTTTTTTGAATTACTAGAATGATGGTCGTTTAGTTCCACTTGGACAAAAATTCTTACGCTCGTTTCTTTTAAATGAAATAAAAAAAATTAAATGCACCAACATATTGAGAATGAGCACTGGTAAAAATCTCATTCTGATTTGATAAATATTCGTTTTAGTGCCAGGATCCAGTGATCAAATACATGTACATTTTTCTTAAACGGGCATACAAAGTACTTGTGTTTTAGACGGAAATTATGCGCAAGAACAGCACTTTCACAGCATCAAACACTACAAATAAACAATCTAATTCAAATTTAACGTGTAACATGCGCCCAGACGCAGAAAATTCAAATAAAGAACTAAAAAAATCGCATTCACATCCTGCGTGCCACGTGATTCAGATACTAGCATGTGAGTGAACGGGCGGGAAAAAGTGTGGGAAAACTGTTCAACCTACTTTCCATCGGTGAAGGCCGAGTAGACAGGCATACCACGTGCCCCAATTAAACAAGTCAATGCAGCGGAAGATGCGAAGAAAAAACTTTTTAACGCATAAGAGGGACAAATAGAAGAAGGAAGAACGACACGGGACCTTCCACTGAGACAAGGCGCCACACTGGTTATAGGAAGCCCTGATAGTATTTGTAGTAAAGGTGCGCGCGCAGTGAATGAATTGCGCGAACCGTTTTCACTGGATCCTGGCACTAAAACTAATATTTATCAAATCAGAATCAGATTTTTAGCAGTAAAACTGAACGAGAAGAACTTCTTGGACTTATTATGTCCAAGGAAGAACGGACAAAAAACGAAGTTGAAAGCACGTTTTGAGGAATAATATACGCATAAAATGGTGCTGATTATTTAAAATAATTTTAGACGCCAATGTCATCTCAATAACCATGATAGCACCCTCTCTCGGTTTTTATGCCGCTTTAAAAGAAACGATTATTGCGAACTGTAAGCGTAATATAAATGATATTATGGCATTTGTATAAACTTCATTTAATACGAAGGTTAATAATTATAGGTTTCTAATTCGTTGCTTTGCACTGGCGTGTTTTTTATGATATTGGTTTCTTGCCTTTGTTATTGTTTTTTATGATATTGGTTTCTTGCCTTTGTTATTTTTTTAAATACACTCTACCTCTCTGGCCTTGCTTCTTTAAAAGGCTATTTATATGGCCTTACAGTGCCTGGGGCAATTCCACAGTGGACATTAGAAATGGAAAAATTACTCAACATTAAAACCGCCAAAGTGTGAACCGCTTTAGCTCTCGTCGTGCACCATACGGCATTTCTTGGCTTTCTTCGTCCCAAATGTGCCCATGGTGCTGGGCTAACTTATTCCCAGATTTGACCCATGTTAGTGTGCATCGAAAAGCCCAGACAACCAAATAATTATTTTTTAGGGTTTAGGTTATTTATTTTTAAGGTAATGCCATAATTCAAAAAGAAACAAGTTTTAGGGGCATTTTGTTAACATTGTGCTGTAGGCTTCACTAAGCGCCCCCCATCAAGAAGTTTTATAAACGTCATAATGTCAGTTGAATTAGGCCTAGAAATTTCACAATAATCTTTTCCTAACAAGGGATTATTATAGGTCCTAATCATAGCCTAATATTTATTAAATCAGACATACTTTTTAACAGTTGAATGACCTGTAAAATTTCATGGTCTGTACAGTAATTTTGATTAAATTAACAGGCCTAAGACGGGGGCATGTCGGTAGGTACTGGGAACAGGAAAACGAATTGCTATTGTCCTTTGACTTTTTTATTCCTGCTATGTCCAACGTCAACTACATAAAATTCCTTTTTTATTACTCGCTTTTGCATGCTGTATCGCTACTAGTACTCTTTGTGATACCAATAAGTATAGAAAAAATTACACGAACATATGCTGTATATCGACTTTTATTGATATGTAAATGCAGTCTTTTTCTTATCAAAAGTAAGTTAGTTACAATAACAGGTTAAGTAATTCAAAGCAAATTACAATGTACAACTATCCATAAAAACTGTCATTACCCCTGAATGACATGCGAGCTCAAAAAAAAAAATTGACATCAAAGTGAAGGCAAAACAATTCCTTGGTTAATTAAAAAAAATTATAAACTAATTAGGCATTACAAATCTAGTAAATATCTCTATACAGATTTTGATAAGTTTTTTTACATATGTACAGTTATACATAAAATATGCTATTATCCCCGAATTGCATTCCAGCAAAGTAAAGAATGTACACATAACAGTAAGGGCAAAACAATTCATTATTTGTATACAACTTTAAAAATAACATGGAAGTATTGTTTTACAAATTTTGATACACAGACCGTTACAGTATGCAGAGGGGTGATTTAGGGGGGTGGCATTTAGGGGGTTGGGGCCCGTCTTTCGATTTCTGAAAAAAATCATACCAATGGTCCCCTCTTTAACTTCATAGCAGAATCTCCCATAGCTCAACATCGGCCCAGCGAAGCCATGCAATCCGGGCACCTCTAATGCATACCGTTAACCTGTAATGTTTCCGTTTAGTATTCAGATATGTCCAATGAAGTCTTCTTTAAGGACCCGACTATGGTTTCATCTTTTTTATATCAGAGCTGGGCCTAATACTACACTGTAGTATATACAGTATGTAAGCTCAAAACTTGCATAATTAATCCTGTCTTCCGTAGATTTGGCAATTCAGAAAGGGGTACCTGCGGAGAGCAGCTACACTGTAAATGTACACTACACTACAGCTACGCTGAAAATGTACACTACACTACACTACCCTTTTCCAAGACTTTGGGTGATACAATAAGGGTTAAGTTAAAGCTTAAGTATTCGGCCATAACAGATTATTTCATATAGGAATGTCTCATAGGAATGTCTAAAACTGATGTGAACAAAATGTAGGGCAGTTACCATGAGATCAGCTTTAACCTATAGGGAGCTTCAATCTACAGTTGCCCGTATAACCATCACGTCATCCTTGACGTAGGTAGTTTTTGTGTGGCCATATAACTCGCGGAGTGACACGAATTTTGGATCTCCTGCAACGACTTGCATGTCTGACATTGGCCGCTTGGAAATTGATGGGTCGGGTATGAACTTGTTAGTGATATCTGCCGGATCTGTGTCCTTCTGGTCAACTAACGAAATGGACATGCTTTGACCGAATGGCCAATCGAGCTGATCATCAAACTGGCCGGGCATTAGTACGAAATAAATGCTAACATGAGTTCCCTTTCCAGTTTCGGAACCATTCAAGAAGATACGACAGCACATTTTGTACCCGCGGGGACTGGTGTAGAACGAGGGCGAGTCAAGACTGGTGAGACGACCACTAATGGAATCCTGACGTTTGCGAAAAAAGTCTGTAATCTTCCAATCCAAAAGACCGAACTTGTTGTCAAGTTCTTCCGATGCTGAGACTGTCATTCGTTTAAAAGTCGTCAATAGCTTTTCCTCTTCTTTCCTAAAACATTCAGGTACATGGATTTGCTTCTTTAGATCCGGCGGTCTTAAACCATCTTTCATGAAAATTGTTTGTTCGTGCCTCTCTGCGCCTCTGTCCGACCCCTCTCTGAGCTCGGCATCGGGGATGGTGGATTGTCTTGTCCGACAAGACTTTTCATGAATCTACAGAAAAAATGATAAACAGAATATTGGCAGAATTTTCCGGAGAAGAGTTGTTCGTGTTATTGTCAATCCTGGTGAGTCTATGGGCAGGTACCATGTTTTACTAAACATTTCCAGAAGAAAACAAATGAAATGTACCTAACCCATAGTTGCAAAACGTTACCCCGAAAGTTAACTCAAATTTATATTTAGACCATAAGGCGTAGGCTACTGGAAATAGTTAGAAAAAGACGAATGACAAAAACTCCTGAGACATAAGCAAACTGCTAACAGATTGCGGTGAGCGAAGCAGTTGGAATCAAAAGGTGTGATTTTTGGTAAGCACAATAAAAAGTGCTTAACGGACGTTAAAATCAAAATCCTATGTAATAAGAGGACGCCAACCTCCTGGTAGTCTTGCAAACGTCCAGTCCATATACAGCCATTTTGGTCACACACTATCTTCAGTAAATTCAGTTCAAGTCTCATAGCGTTATCCGGAAATATCTGAAAGATGTGCAATTGAAAAATTAATTTAAAAGGGACGGTGAAGTCACAAACTCCCATCAGAAGAACGTCAATCATGTGACAAATCTTATAATCAATGAGGTGAACAATTAGAGACGAACATACACTTCTAGAAATTACCCGCGTTTACTAATATGTAATACACATAATACTAACGGTCGGGATAGATTCATACAATATTGGTCAAAAAGATTGTCCCCCTTCCAGCATCACGTGGTCTTTCATTTATCATTGATCACATCACAGGTGGAAATTGTTATAAATAGTGATTTTCATTCCAGATGCCATAACTAACATGATTATTGGAACAGGAAATACAAACTTGCGGTGAATATCAATATTAAATACCATTTATTCACATTTATAACATGTACCCCCTCAAATCTGACGTTTGACTGTGCTTTCCACAGAGGTAAAGATATGTCCATTTTATTACAAAAGACACCACCAAATGTCACCAAACTTGCACACATTTAGCATTAGGGTGTGCTCGTTAAAGGTCACGAGTCTATTATAGCGTGTGTCTACCGCGTACTGTAATTATATCCTGTAGACGGCGCGGCCTGCCTTCAACAAGGATAACAATTATGTTTTGTGGAATATTGTCGCATTCTTCCCAAAGGGCTTGGAAGAGTTGGTCCAGATCATTAGAAGCTTGGTTCTCCTTTGCATTGTCCACTTTAATTCATGCCGCAGATGCTTGGCATGGTTAATATCAAGGCTCAAAGATGGTTGCTCCATCCTCTGAACAATGGGTTTCTGCAACACTCAATCACTCAGCAGACGAGAATTGTGTGCAAGTACAGTTTCGCGATGACGCCAGCAGTATCCCTGAAATCACCTCTTGCAAATGAAGTGAGATATTTGTTAAGAATGTTTCAGTGAATTGCCCCAATAACGTTCTTTTCCGGGCAGAACAATTTACTAAAATAATGAGCTTGGAATGCTCCCCAAACGTGGATTGACCTGACACCTCAAATGATATTCTCCTGCACACACCTTCCAAACGGCATTCTGCAACATGTCTACGGGTCCTAATTTGACCATCGAAGGCATACAAGAAATACCTTGATTCCTCAGTAAAATCAGCTTGTTCCTACTGAAGGTTGACCAAGTTCCAGTAGTTCTGGTGTCACTGAGCCTAACATTCGCAACTGATACCTGATTCCATCTACAAGAGGGGACTTCAGGGGTGATCCAGACTTCATCATGACAGCAAAATTGCCCACAGTTTTCGTCTGGTGAGTGATTTGTTGGAGAAACCCAATATTCTGAGGCGGAGAAACCATCTTCGAGTCCTGTTAAAACCTCTGAGACTGAGCACTCGTGGCATGGATTGAAGCGAAGCGTGCAATCCAGAGGAGAACCAAACTCCAAATATTCAGAACCAATTCCGCCAACCTTTTATGGAAACATGGGACAATATCCGACAAAACAGAATTGTTTCCCTCGTTGAAGGCAGCGGCGCCGTCTACAGGTGGTAATTACAGTACGAGGTAAACACACACGCTAACAGACGCGTGACCTTTAACGATCACATGCTAGTGCTACATATGTGTAAATTTGGTGATGTTTGGTGTTGTCTTTTTTTAATTTAATGGGCGTTTCTTTACCTCTGTGGAAACGACAGTGGAACATCGGATTTGAGGGGGTACATGTAATAAATGTAAATAAATGGTATTAAATATTGATATCTTCACCGCTAGTTAGTATTTTCTCTACCACTCATTATGTTTGTTATGGTATCTGGAATGAAAATCATCATTCATAGCAATTAACTCCTGTGATGTGATCATCTATAAATAAAAGCACATGAAACAGGGGGTGGGACAACCTTTTTGACCAATGCTGTATTGCATAAGCAACCATGACGTAATGAAATTTAACTTCTTGCTGAAAAACGTCATATCCGACTAACTGTTTTATCCCAGTAATGTGCAAGCATCAAAGTAAAACGTTGACCAAACGTTGTCCAATTTTGTACCTGTTATCGCATTTTGGCATTCTTCACACTTCTTCAATATCAACACACGCGTGATGTACATTATCAGTAACCTAACTTAATTTCATGCTCTTTTTTACGCAAATGAATAAACCTGAGTTACCATATAAATTGAAACGTGCGTATAAATTGAAATTGACCGGCGTTCACTACTTTTACACTAATTTTAAAAAATGCTAGTATTTATCAGGCCACTTTTAATGCCTCTATAACAAAAATTACAATATTCGTCGCTAACCGTTCACTACCCGACATAAAATTCCACTTTTGTAATAATTAAAGCGTTCAGTAACAACGGAACAAACCTGACTTTCACCGCCTTCTGCGCCTTTTGGACAGGCCGAGCATCGCTGAGCACCACTGGATCTGCAACAATGTACATGTTATCAGACAGCGGGGGAGACAATACTAATTAGAGTGAGGGGGAAGTTTGACATGCTTACTCACAAAGACCCCTTTTAACATACAACAGACAAAGTGACTGACACTGCAGTGACACACAGACCGATGTAGTGACAGAAAAGGAAAGTTAGATGGATACATAAACATTAAGACATAGGCCATGTACGTGTATATGAACACAGTGATTGATAGACAGACAGAAAAAATAAATACTTCTTGTTACCTAATGAAGTCATCTAGACACGTCTTACAGTGCCTGTGTCCACAAGGAGCTTGCATCGCATCTCGTAGCACCAACTTGCAGGTTTTACACTTGAAGCGTTCGTGAACTGGATCTCGAAACAGTGCAAGATCAAAGCCTCCTTTCGCCGGCTGTGTCGTCTCCTCGGTCGGCGTTTGAGGTATAGACTGTTTACCGGCATCTGCGTCCTTGAAAAAAATTAAGAAAATGCCATGATGTAAACAATAAACATTTCACAAAAATGACATCTTCCAGGAAAACAATCAGGTCGGTTTTCGACCTCGACCTTTGCCTATGAATTTTTTCAGTAAGTATGAGAATCAGAAGTAACCAGAATTATTCAATTTTGCTGCAATATATTACATGATGCTTTACAGCATAATCACCACCAATCTTAATAATATGATATCAGTATTCAAAAACTGTGGCCAACCATGGAAGTTCAAAGTCGCAGCTTAAAAAAAAAGTGGTGTGAAAATGTATATTTCCCAAAAAGTGCTTGTGTAACTATAAATTACAAGTTAGAGAATAATAAGTAAAAGTGTCTTTCTTTTATTGTGCTTTACTTATGTCAATTTTGCACAATAACACTTAATTCTGCATCAAAAAGTAAATAAGATTCATACGATTGTGTATAACAGACACTTGATCAAACGCCCAGGTGTACAGATCCATTACCGTCGTAGGCTGAGGTTATGAAAAAGGAAATAGATTATGTGGCGGTTGCATTAGCAGATAGCGGATGTTCTGATTGGTCTTTCATAAGAGCCAGAATTTCACCCGCAAATAAGAAAATCACACACCACAGCAGAGGAAAAGAGGGTTAACATTGAGGTGCCTTACGTGAGAGGTTTGTCTGAAAGACTTAAGCCCAAATCTGAACAGTCTGAGGTGGCGGGTTATTTTAAATCCTACAACTCGGTGGTAAACTGGTGCATGTGAAGGAAAAGACATCCAATGTCGTTTATGGTGTAAGCTGTAAAGATTACAAGTGCTCTGAACCCTACGTGGGAGAAACTAAACGAAATCCACAAAAGACAACTAAACACTGATCAGAGAAAACAATATATTACTTGACCCAAAGTTCGGTTTACAAAAAAAAATCCAATCATGCTGTTTTTCGAAATCGGACACATTTTAATATCATCTCTGCAAGTTTGAAGAAATTCGGTCAAACAAATTTCCACTTAATTTTTTCAATCTGTATTGCATTTATGCTGGAAAAGGTGAATAAACAACATAATGATCTGATCATGCTGATTTTAGCAAATTGCATTTTAGCAATATTAATATTGATCACTCTTGTAAGTTTGAAGACTATAGGAATATTATTTTTCTTGAAATATTTTATCTTAGTTCATATAATGTAATATATGCTGAAAAAACAGCATAACTGTAGAAAAATAGTCAGATCAAGTTGACACTCAAACTCGACCTGTATTTTAGTAACGTTGATCACTGTAAGTTTGAAGTAAATAGACCTATCAGTTTGACTTGAAATGTGTTGCCTGTGTTGCATACAGCAGGCTATTTATAGCAAAATAAACAAAAACGCCATAAATTCCAACTTGACCTATATCATTGATTACTCCTGTAAGTTTAAAGATAATAGGCCTCCCAGTTTTCCTTGAAATATGTTGTCTGTATCGCACATATGCTGAAAATGTTAAAAAAGCATAACTTTAGAAAAAATTAATGGATCATGCCGATTTTCGAACTTAATGCATATTAATGTGTTCTGCAAGTTGCATGACCTCGTTACATTGAAATACTTAAATATTGTACTACATAACGTGTTCTCAGACTTACTTGTTTGTCTCTTACAGTCCGTGCGTAGTCTTGTAGTTCTACTATTAGCCAACTAAGAGTTTGGTCATCTAGCTTATATGACCGAGAATTCGTCTGGGGACTATCCTCGTTACTCAGATGTATTATTTTAGTAGACGGGCATCTAGACTTGGTCACCAAATGGGCGTAACATTGGGCGTTGATCAGATCGATAGGCACAGGCGGGTAAAGGTTGTTGGCCACCTCGTCAACACAGTCAATGTACTCCTTCAGGGGACATTTTTCTACCGCCAGAGTGATTTGCCCGTCTGGTCCCCCATGACCTACAAACAAGATGACAATACGTCCTTTTTTACGGTGTTCTTCAATGTACGTGGTGACTTTGTTAAAGAGTTCGTTTTTGTTGTACACCATTACTACCTGGCCCACGTTTCCACTGCACTGGGAAGCCCCGGGGTACAACTCCCGAAAATTTCGGATTTCGCATTTCCTTTTCACTATATCATCTCCGTCGAGTGGCGCTGCCAGGAAAAGAAATGCCACTTGTCTAGCTTCTTCAATATCTGCATTGTATGCCTGTCTGGCGTCTTCAGATGGCGTTTCTGGAGATGGTGTTGCGTTAGTGCAAAGTTCCCCACGACCGAGGAGGAATTGACGATAGTAGTACCTTTTGTCCTCGTCACTAACCCGTAGATCAGCGCAGTACTCCTGCCATCCCAACTCCACGTATTTCTCTAATATGCTCTTTTCTCTAATTTTTTGTTCTTGTTGTACTATTTCCCTAAACTCTGCTACACTAATGGCCTTCCATGAATCTGCAAAATACATGGCAGATATATTGCATTTATTCCTTCTTTTTGGCAGATCGACTATGAACGGCGCACTTTCAATTTGCCTTTAAAATGTCCCGTTAATGTCGACACACCAACGACCTCAAATAAATAAGGGGACTTGTTTACACTATGAGGTAATTTGGGTCAAACCTCATGCAATGGTCTTTTTAATTGTTTTATAACAATACACTTAGCTCCGATTTTGGAGAAGGAGCCAGTAGCTGTTATTATACTCGCAGCTACTGGGTGTATCAGAGAATCATTTGGGGGAGGGTGGGCTGCCATTCATAGACACCATTGAATCATTAAAAATTGATGCCAATTTTTACCTCCTGTATCTCTAATATGTGATATCATATATAATAAACCGACTAAGAAGCTAACCGCAATCGACCCTAAACATAGGCCGGTTGTGTAGTCATTTCTGCATTGATAAAATATCTAAAAACGTGTCACCCTCGACCGTAAATTCACGTCTGTGTTGCTGTCTTGGATCGTCAATAGGTCTTATAGACGGATAAGGCGTTTGTGAAGTTGGACCTCAGATTTGTGAGCACAAATGCGAAAATCGAGCCACAAATTAAGAATCCCAATCCTTGGATGTATTTAGTTAAATCATAAGCTTCCTGAAAAGTTAACAATGCCTAGGGAATAAAAGTCCTTGAGGCTCTCACTGTTCTCATTTTAGACACTTCTGGGAACTTTGTATAGCTTATAAAACTGTTCACTTCTTGTTGGTAAAAGGTGGTGAATTTTGTGGTCACTAATGTACATTTTTTGAAGCATTCTTTTTCGACATATACATGTATATTGGAGAAAGCTGATGCTCTGACTTTGAGAAGTCAATTGCAATTTCTTTGTTTTTTCTTAGAATGTAAATGTCCTTTTGTTGTTGATTGACCATTCGACTGCTTCGTTTGTTGCTATTTGTAGAGTGTAAGGTGACTGGGTTAGCTTGTTTAGTTTGTTTGAAGATTAGGTAAACACCTTGCCGTGACTCCAAAACCTTAAATAAAGCTATTAACATATGAAGCAGTTTAACGTTGAAAAAAGAGGACCTCGAATACTGGTAGATTAATCCCATGTGATCATGGCCCCGAAACTCGAAAGCATCGCGTATTGCGAGTAGCGATTTCACATAGAGGCTACAATGTATTGTATGGGGCGAGTGTGGGCGAGTTAAGGAATCCAGATGCTTGTTCTCGGGGCCCAGGTATATCAAGGCTGTTAAAATAACTTGCCTCAGCCCGAGAAAAAACTCAAACCAGCAACAAAGTAAAAAGCCATAGAAATCTTGTGTTTAGATAGGATGGGTGTAGTATTGCAGAATTATTGAACATAATACATTTCATTTCTGAACGAGTATACCACATTACCTGAATAGAACTGTTTCCATTTGTGAACAAGGAAGGTTAAACCAGTTGCCCTTTGTGCGAGGACAACAATCTGCATACTTATTGGGCCGCCAGAACGGTTGAATACAGCTTTTACCTCTAGAGACAAAATATAAGGCCTCATTCCCATACCTAAATCAATCTAGAAGGATCGAACCATCTCCAAAGGGGATCCCACTAAACTGCATTCAGGTTAAGCGATAGTTAATAACCCTATTACAGCTTCACTGGGCGTGACAGACATCTCAAACTGTAAGGGGGTTATTAAGATGTTTGTTTAAGACCCCATTCAAATACCTAGAACAATTTAGCTGGAGCGACCCATCTCCGAGGGCTTTCTTGCTAAATAACATTCACCTGGGTCTTAAACAAACATCTTATGCGTATGACATATAAAAGCACACGTGTAACTGCAACGTGACCTACCGGTAGTGTAAATAGGAATTAAGTCTGTTTAAAAACGTACATCTAAAACAATGTATTTTTTCTTTTGTCTTTAGAAATTCATCCAAAGCGGAATAACCTATGCTTTTAATCAACCACAAATTGTTTTATGGGTACACGTGAAAAAAGAAAAGCATCGCCACACTGGTACCCGCCTCTTGATATTATTATCAATTTAATGATTATTTTGTGCAACACGAATATTTGATTTGTCTCCTCCCCGTTTGGTGGGTTGTTTTCATTATTTTTAGTTGGGGTATTTTTAGTAAATTACATGTACATCACCACAGAATCTATTTTTGTCGCGCTAGATGTCGTGAGATAAATAACGCCACCATTAGTATGTCATCCATGGAGTGTGTTTAGTCGATTGGTCTCATTCTGTCGATCCACTTTAGCTTAATTATGCAGGTATTTGTCGCAAAGGTGACTATAGGCATTTCCATGTCCTTGGGTTTGGCGACGGTCCCATTTTCTTTTTCAATACCCAACCCGGAAGAAAACATGAGATGTTTACCTCAGATATTGCTACAGGTATTTAAGAGCTAGAGTAACTTACGCTGTGCCTGCTTAGCTGCAGAAGCTTGCGCTCAGAAAAGAACGCAAATTTGAGATGTAAACTGTTGACGCTTGTTGAAAAAGGTGGGTGACATTGTTTACTTATTTATTTTTTCATTTATTTATTTATTTATTTATTTATTTATTTATTGCTCCTTGTATTATTCTCATTTTTTATCGAAATATATTTTCTGATTATTAATTTAACAAATTATCATGAACATGACACAAAATGGTCATTCAAAGGACTTGGTGCTCGACATTGTCATTTAAATTAAATGTACTCTTTACGGGATTCACCAGCCAAAATTAAGTTTCCTAAAAGGCAATCTTCTCTTATGCACCCAACATTTCTCTGTCCATCTCTGCACTTGATTTCAATGTTTTATTTTGTTTTTAATTAAATGACTTAGTTCTGTATAACCGGTCAGTCATTTAGGAAGCCATGTCTTCTTGATTATTTCTGAATGCACCACCGACGTGTCTTCCGGAAGACAGTCAATTTTTTACTGTGACGGACATCTAATTTTTTTCTGTCGGAAGACGGTCATAAGTGGAGTATGGATCAACAAAGATAATTTGGAAGACTACCAGTAAATTTCTCTAGATCCGCCCCTGTTTTTATAAGAGAAGTTATAAAGTTTTAAAGGTGCGAATTGGAAAAATGTAGCTTTGCATTTGCTTTGCATACCTATGTCGACATAGAAAATAGGACTTGGGGGAATTTTCAAAAGCGTAAAGAATATCTATTATCATTATATCATTTTTACTTACTGAGCTATTTGAATGAAAAGTGGGAGGCTGCCTCTGTGCAAAAATACTCTGACTAAAATTCATGAAAGTCGATCATTAAAGGGTCCCAAAAGGCACGGCTCTCAAAGGTGGATGCACAGCATAGCAAAAAGGAAAACAGACGGGCATGACGGGCATTCTAAACTACGCAGAACTTAGTGCCCTTCACTGCCTGAAATGATTGTGTCTTATTTCAAACATGCCCGCGGTACCGTACAATCCACGTGACGGGGGTATAATATTTAATTGCTAAGTTTCTCTCCTGGTTAAATCGCTCATGGGGGTTTCAACTAGTAGTAATTAATTTATAACCTTTTGTTAAAAGGTGTGTGTGTACCTGATTCCCTTTATGTTAACTACAATACTTGTGAGTTAGCAATAAGAAAATAAAATAAAACGAATAATAAAAGCACTGATTACTTAAATAGTGATTTTCATTCCAGATACCATGATTAGTGGTACAGAAAATATAAGCTAGCGGTGAAAATATCAATATTCATTCACATTGATTACATGTTCCCCTCCCCCCCCCCCCCCCCCAATCCGAAGTTTCACTGTGATTTTTACAGGGGTAAAGAAATGTCCATTAAATTGCAATGACACAACCAAATGTCACCAAATTTACAGTAATACACCCATTTAACATTAGACTGTGCTCGTTGACGGCCACGTGTCTAATAGCGTTTGTCTACCGCGTACTGTAATTATATTCTGTAGGCGGGGCGGCCTTGAACAAGGGTAATAATTCTGTTTTGTGGGATATATTCCCATTCTTCCTAAAGAGCTATAATCATTCATAGTAATTAACTTCTGTGACGTGATCATTTAAAAAAAAACCACATGAAAATGGGGGCGGGACAACCTTTAAGACTTTACAGCCTGCTTATACATATGGAGGGTCGCTTGCGCTGAATTTTAAATCGGTCCTCATAGATCACTACGCTCTTTGGAAATATAGAAGAAAGGAATTGGCAATATTATTAAATGGAATTAAAAAAAAACTTTCAGATATACTCCGTACTGCGGTTGCGAGTATTTTAACATTAGCTAGTAGCTACTACTCAGTTAGAGAGCCTATTTTAAGATTCAAAAAGCAGTTCAATTTACGCGTCAAATGTATGACCCAAAATGAAGTACGCATGTCAACAAAAAAAATTCCCTACTCTATGTAGGTGCTCATATCCAGTGCTCCTTTCGATGATGGATTCTCAGCCCCAAAAGAATCGATTTGACGAGAGTATCCTAGATACACCAAAGCCTATTACTGTGGTGAAGTTTAGGGAAATCGTACAACAAGAACAAGAAATCAGAGAAAGTGGTATTTTAGAGAAATACGTGGAGTCCGGATGGCGAGAGTACTGCGCCAATCTGCCGGTCAGTGACGAGGAAAAAAGGGGCTACTATCGCAAATTCCTCCTTGGTCGTGGGGAACTTCTCACTAACCCAACGCCATTTACAGAACCACCATTTGAAGAATCCAGACGTCAGTACAATGCAGATATTGAAGAAGCTAGACAGGTGGCATTTCTTTTCCTGGCAGCACCACTCGACGGATATGACAGGGAGAGAAGGCAGTGCGAAATCCGAAATTTCCGCGAGTTATACCCCGGGGCTTCCCAGTGCGGCGGAAACGTAGGCTATGAAGTAATGGTGTACAATAAAGACGAGCTTCTTCATCAAGTCACCACATTCATTGAAGAACACCAGAGAAAGGGACGTATTGTCATCTTGTTTGTAGGTCATGGGGGACCAGACGGGCAGATCACTATGGCGGGAGAAAACTGTCCCCTGAGGGAGTACATTGAGCGCGTTGACGAAGTGGCCAACAACCTCCACCAGCCCGTGCCTATTGATCTGATCAACTCCCAATGTTACGCCCATTTGGTGCCCAGAGCTCAAAACCGGTCTGTTAATATAATACATCTAAGTACAATTCAGAATCCCGAAACGCACTCATTTCGCGAAAAGATTTCCGGCAATCTTCATTGGGATTATTACAATATAGAACTGCAAAAATATGGACAGACTAAAAAAGACAAACAGGTAAGTTGAATAGCATGTAATCTACTACCTTAGTATCACAGCCTGAAGCTTTAAAATGCCATGCAACGTTTAGTCATCATTCGGATTGCACTAGTAGACTATAGCCATAATAGTTACTTTTCCCCTCGAAGCCGAAATCTTCAGCATTCATTCTTTGTACCATATATGACCGCTTTTTTAACCAGATTTTGTGATTAAGAAAAGAAAGAAAAAATAAAAGGACGGAAAAAACATGGCAAACGTTTCCATATTATTCTTTAAGGCTTTTTTATTTTGATATAATAGAGCTTTAGAAAGATGTATTGGTTGCACTACAGTTGTGCTTTATTGCAGTTGGCGGAAATATTATCCCTGTCTAATATGGGCCCTGAAAGTCAGGTAACATGAAAACCAGTACTGTCTGTCCCATGGTTGGGTGGTCGGCGACTTAACCGGCTCCTCCGCTCGGTGACCTTGTGAGGAGGGTGTGTGGACACCCTGCAGGACTAAAAACAAGACCTGTCAAAGGGCGGATGAGCTCCAAGCGAGCCAACGGCCATCCATATCCGGAGAGGGGATAGAAACCACCGGATTATCTCCACCGAAATACAATGATGAACGCACCAAAAATTGTGAACGCATAAAAATGCCCCAGCGGCCGTGAGGCTACGGGAATGACCTAACCTAACAATAACCTAATGTGGGATAGATAGAAATAACGCACGTTTTGTCAGTGTGT